GCAGCTGTGTGATGCCCCGCAGGTGCACCGTGACTGCTCCCGGCTCGCGCCCTGCAGCTGTGAGACGCCCCACAGGTGCACCGTGACAGGGCGCCGTGCTCGAAGCAGGAAGCCACGTCTCCCCTAAGCTGAGGTCCACAAAAGGCAAGAGCCGCCTGCAGTGGAAATCGCTCCGGAAATCTCTGACGCTCCAGTTCCCTTGACCCAGTCTACGGGTTGACTTCGAAAGCTCGCCCTGGCCATGTTAACCCGCAGGGCTCTGGGAGGCAACCGTCCACAGTTCCCAGGCCTGTGCAGGCGCCCCAGGAAGGGCTGTCGGTCGGCGGCTTCCTGCTGTCTGAACGCCCCAGAACCCTGCTGGTGGGTCCACGAAGAGACGGGGAGTGGAGGAGGGGCGCCAGCGTGAGCGTTGCTTTCCGACCGTGGGGACCTGGGTCAGGACCTGCAGGAAGCCAGGCAGTGCGGCTGCCTGTGCAGGCTGCGGGAGAGGCAGGCGCATGCCTGGGAAGTCCAGGGGCGGCTGGGAGCCAGCGTGGCTGCAGGGAGAGCATCAGGCACGAGCGAGGAGGCTGTGGAGATAGGTGGGCCTTAGGGGCCACTTGGAGAATTCTTCTTTGACTTGGAGGGACTCTCGGTGGGAAGTGGTGGGATGAGACCCGCATTTTAAAAGGCTCACGCTGCCTCCAGGGTTGAGAATAGATTTTGGAGTGAGGGACAAGGTCCAAAGCCAACAACGCCAGGGAGAGACTCACGGAAAATTCATGTTGCCTCCCAAGCTTGGCCCCACTCCTACAGTTCTAAATAATTACACCTGGGAAGGGTTTGTGCAGAGATTCTTGAAATTGAGAATACCGCTACAGGCATGTTCCTGCGTAGAAGTCCATGTGCAAGTGATTGAAGTGACAGGTTAATTTCCCAACACAACGCACTGCAGAAATGTGTCACACAATCAGATCCACTTTGCAACGGAAGATCCTAAGGAACTGAGTTCTAGTGTCTCGATCTGGCTCTCTGTTCATAAATATCAGAGCCGGGCAATCTGACAGAGAGCTGTGACTCTCAGGCACCGGCCTGTACTCTCCACAGGGCAGCAGGCAGGCAGGAGGTAGCACTGGCTGCCTGTTCAGACAGGCGGGTGCTCCGCTCGCCGCAGTCCCCACCACTCCCTATCGTCTGTACTCATTACATCGTCTCCTGGCTCGTGTGCCCTTCCAGTCTTGCGAGCTCCAGGATCCTTTATGAAAAGTGAGGGAGGCCTGGGCAGGGCGCATGGTCCCTGTCTAGGTCCAAGATGACAAGGAGGCTCCATCCCTTATTCCCAGGTGACAGGGTTTAGAAAGATGGCCAGGCCGAGGTCAGCAGAGCCAGAGCTGTGCTGTGTTTGACTGATGATGTCTGCCATGGGCAGGAGTAGGAGAGTGTGTAAGGTCTGTGTGCTGATGCTGCTAGAGGCTAACGTGGGAGACAGGGCAATGCCTGTCCGTGCACTGGGGCAGCAAGGGAGAGCCTGCAAGTGGTGTGGCTGCAGCAGGCACAGGTGCAGCAGGGGACAGCCTGCTGGGGACGCCTGTGCCTCACATCAACGCGCCTCGGTCTCCGCCTCGGCCCCACTTCCAATCCAGCTTCCTGCGGATGAGCACCCTGGAGGGAGCGTGATGGCTCAAGCACCTGGGTCCCTGCCGCCCACGGGGAGACCCGGACTGAGTTCCAGGCTCCTGGCTTCAAGCCTGCACTTGTGAGCGTTTGCAGAATGAACCAGCGGGTGGTAAACCAGGTTTCCGTCTGTCTGTTTCTCACTCTGCCTCTCTCTGCCTTCCAGATAGAGTGAAAATAAATAATAAACAAAAACTGTAGAAGGGGATGGGTTCCAATGTGAGGTCACAGAGTCACTGGGCCTCTGGCCTTGGAAGGGAGAGATGAGGCACTTGTGCAACTATGGTTAGTTCTTGCAACTAACTAACTAAGTTAAGTATGATTAGTTCTTGCAAGTTAGCACAGACCAGTGGAACAGAACAGACACCCTGGAAGTAAAGCCACACAGCAGCAGCCATGTGATCTTTGACAAACATGCTAAGAACACGCAGATACAGCCGGCGCCGCGGCTCACTAGGCTAATCCTCCGCCTTGCGGCGCCGGCACACCGGGTTCTAGTCCCGGTCGGGGCGCCGGATTCTGTCCCAGTTGCCCCTCTTCCAGGCCAGCTCTCTGCTGTGGCCCGGGAGTGCAGTGGAGGATGGCCCAAGTGCTTGGGCCCTGCACCCCATGGGAGACCAGGAGAAGCACCTGGCTCCTGCCATCCGATCAGTGCGGTGCGCTGGCCGCGGCGGCCATTGGAGGGTGAACCAACGGCAAAAGGAAGACCTTTCTCTCTGTCTCTCTCTCACTGTCCACTCTGCCTGTAAAAAAAAAAAAAAAAAAGAGCACACAGACAGAGGATGGTCTGTTTAATAAATGGGGCTGGGAAAATGGGAAAATGGGAGATCTACCTGTAGAAGGATAAAACCAGACCTGACCTCTCACTACGCTGAAAAATCAACTCACAATGAAGTAAGGACCGAAACGGGAGACCGAAACTTTCAAACTACGAGAAGACAACACTTCAGGGTGCTGGAAAGGGCAAAGGGCGAGGGTTTTCTGGATCAGACCCCAAACGCACGGGGAATAAAAGCAAAAATAGACAGATGGGATTTCATGCACCCAGAAGCCTTTGCCCACGAAAGGAACCGGCAGTGAAGAGACAGTCCCCGGAACGGGAGACACGTCTGCAGGCCGCGCGGCTAAGACGCCAGCACCGGGACACACAGGCACTCGGCAGCTGAAAGCCAAGGAGCGAGCAGGGCAGCGGAGCCGTGGGGAGGCACCAGGGGACCGGCAGTGACACGGAAGACAGCGCCACACCACGAGTCAGCAGGGGAAAGCAAGCCAAACCCACAGCGAGGTGTCACCCCACTGCAGCCAGACTGGCTTTTCTCGGAAAGAGACCAAGCGCTGGCGAGGATGTGCAGAGGGTGACGCGCACGCTGTCGGCAGGAGTGTGATTTAGTGCGGCTGTGGTGGGAGCCAGTGCACAGGCTCCTCAGGACGCTAAAGCTGGCCCCACCGCGGATCCAGCAATCCCAGCCCACGTGCACGGCCACGGGGGATGAAGAGGGAGCTGCATGACCCGTGCAGTGGCTCACTAGGTTAATCCTCCGCCTGTGAGCCGACATCCATATAGGCACCGGATTCTGCCCCGGTTGCTCCTCTTCCAGGCCAGCTCTCTGCTGTGGCCAGGGAGTGCAGTGGAGGATGGCCCAGGTGCTTGGGCCCTGCACCCCATGGGAGACCAGGAGAAGCACCTGGCTCCTGGCTTCGGATCAGCGCGGTGCACCGGCTGCAGCACCCATTTAGGGGGTGAACCAATGGAAGGAAGACCTTTCTCTCTGTCTCTCTCTCTCTCACTGTCTATCTGCCATGAGGTGCAGACGACCAAGACGTCCGCCCATGGGGGCAGGATGAAGAGAACGCAGCGCACGTACACACCGGAACAGCCACGGAAGGACGCCATCTGCCATGTGTAACCACACGGTGAGGACTGCGGGTCATATGAGCCACGTGCAGAACGTGGGCTGTCTGGGCCTCGCGCCGTGGGAGGACACAGTCCGTATCAGCTTTGTAGCTCCACATAACCTACAGCGACTTCACAGACCCGCATCAGCTCCACGCTTACAGACACACATCCACGAAACAGGTCTCAGTCCAAACCCGTAACGACGGGGAGGGGAAGGGAGGGCGGGCGGGGAGAGGACTGGCCGTCAGGTCCAGGCAGGTAGGGGTGAGAAGTGCTGGGCTTCGACTGCCCGGTAGCGAGACCGCAGGTGCTGTGACTGTTTCCCTACTAGGTAAAGCCAGGCAATCCCCTGTAGAGAAGCGTTGTTGTGGAGGCCGGAGCCGGCTGGCGCTGCTCTCCGGTGCTCACCGTGATGGCCCAGAGCTGTCCCCGCTGTTGGCACGTCCCAGCCCGGCGGCCGGAGCTACACCAGACTCTCCTCATGCAGTCCCCCGTCTCCCGTGCTTCCTCGCAGTCACCGGAAGTGGATTAAAACGAATGCAGCAGCGTGGGTGCGTATGCGAGTACACGTATGAACATCCGTGATACGTACAACACACACAGGCAGGCACACGCACGTACATAAGGGAACTTCGGAAAGTTCACGGGAAGCGAAATCTCAAATCTCAATGGCAGCCCCGCAGAAGAGGGGTCTGCCACGCTCAGGAACAACGTGCAGAACCAAAGCCGCGTGGCTGCCACCCTCCTCCCACCAGAACAGCCTTGTCCTCCGACTGCTGCCCAGAACGGGAAGTGCCGGGTGTAGACGGATCGACAACCGCGCGAGCTCTCGGCCAGGCGCAGGGGAGAAGCCACCGAGGCCCCAGGGGAAGACCCGCGGCAGAGGCCCCGGCCAGGCGAGCGGGGAGGGCGCGGGCAGCTGCTGCTGGGCGGGAACCAGGTCGCTGCACCTGCCGCTGCGAGCCCCGCCCACTCCGCCCGGGGGGGCTGGGGACCCCCGCCCCCGCATCTGCCAGCTGTCAATCACGAGAGGACGAGGAGGCCAGGAGCAAAGCAGGTGGTGCAGGTGGTTCATCCACCCCTCTGCGAAAGGAAAGCCAGTGGAGACGGCGCCCTCCCGCCGCGCTGACGTCACAGGTGCCCCTTCCGCCGCGCTGATGTCACACAGAGCCATCCCTTCCCGCCCGCGGTGACGTCACAGGCACCTCTTCCTACCGCGCTGTTGTCACACATAGCCCTTCTGTGCATGCTGATGTCACAACGGTGATGTCCCTTGCACATGTGCTGACGTCACAGGGCCGAGCCCCTCTGTCCACGCTGACGCCGCTGTGTGCCGTGCACTGTGGCGTCACAGCTCCTCCCGCGCCCGCCCGCCCTGCACGCCCTCCGCAGGGCACCTGGCGGCCGAGACAGCCCGGCCTCCCGTGGCGGGGACGCGCTGACCACTTGCCTTGACCACGTCCTCATCCGACGAGCGGCACTCCACGGACTCCCGCAGCTCGGCCACGGCGCCATCCTCCGCCACAGACACCACCTTCACGGGCACGGCCACCGTCTTCCCCGTCAGGATGGCCGTGTTCAGGATCTCCGCCTCCTGCAAGACCCAACACACCGTCCGTCACACCCTCTGCCGGCGGCAGAGTCCGGCCCGTCAGCCCAGGTTCTCCCGGGCAGCGTGACAGGGACGGAGGCCGGGTGCGCAGAGGGGCGAATGGGCGGGCCCGGAGGTCACGTGACGGACACCGCCCCCGATTCATTGGCTGGCAGCACTGGGAGGCGGGGCTTCTGGGAGGCCGCGAGGGTGGGGCCCCCAATGGCAACAGCGGCTTTACGGGTAGAGGAGACCGCGTGTGCCCTCGTTCTCGCCACGTGACCCCTTGGCAATGCCCGGATGCCGGGGCCCGGATGTTGGACTTCCCGCCTCTGGGCCCTCCGGAAGTGCCTCTCCTGTCTGAGTCACCTGATCGCCGGTATGAGGCTGCTGCGACACGACGGGCCGAGGCAGAACCGAGAGGATGTCGGACCCAACGCACCTAGTCCCGCTGCGTGCCGGACCCCGCCCCAGCCACTCGCGCGGTCCCCTGACTGCACGGCACTGCTGCTGTCCCCGGTTCACCTCGGGGTCACCCGGCTCGCGGGCACCGACGGGGGGACTCGAACGTGGGGCGGCCAGCCGCCAGGCAGGGCGCAGCTGGGAGGAAGTGACCCCTGCCGGGGCGGGGTTCTCGACCGCTCCTGCCCCGTGTGGTCACACGTGCCGGCCTCTGCAGCCTGTGCAGCCCGGCCTGGCCCCGTGACACCTGCTGGACACCTGCCGCACACGCGTGCAGCATGCATACACACACACACACACACACACCCCGCTGACCGCCCAGCACAGCCTGGCCCCGTGACACCCGCTGGACACCTGCCACGCACACGTGCAGCATGCATGTGCACACACACACCCCGCCGACCGCCCAGCGCAGCCTGGCCCCGTGACACCCACTGGACACCTGCCGCACACACATACACATGCACACACACACACACACGCACACACCCCGCTGACCGCCCAGCGCGGCCTGGCCCCGTGACACCAGCTGGACACCTGCCGCACACGCGTGCAGCATGCACACACACGCACACACACTATCCAGCCGGGCTGGCCACAGGGCACACCCTCGAGGAGGTCCCGCGGCCCTGGCCTGGCCCTGGGCGCAGAAGGGCCCCAGGCTCGCTCTCTCTAAGGGTTTATCTATTTCAAAGGCAGAGAGACACAGAGACAGAGGAAGAGACTGTCCATCTGTTCACCCTCCATGGCCGCGTGGGCTTCCTCGGCTTTCCCAGGAGCGTTTGCAGGGAGCTGGACCGGAAGTGGAGCAGCCGGGGCTCAAGCTGGCGCCCACATGGCCTGGCGTTGTGGCAGGCATGGCTCTACCCACTGCGCCACAGTGCTGCTCCTCACCCCACCCCCCGACCCCTTGCGCACATTTGCTCCTGCAAGACCCAACACACCGTCCGTCACACCCTCTGCCCGCAGCCAGGGTTCCCGGCCCACCTGCACCCAGCAGTGTCTCTCCAGAGCGCCGGGGGGACCTGGCTCAGCTCACACACGCCAGGACCCACCTGGCTGCCTCCCCTCCTCTGCCAGGCCCGTGCCCCCACGGCTCCTCCCAGACACCGCAGCAGGAGGCCGTGGTGGGTGTCTCTGTCCAGCACAGCCCGCCTGCCCCGGGTCACTCTCCCAGAATTCTTGTGGTTGGGGACTGCGGGCACACCAGCTCTCCTGCCAGCACTGCCTGGAAGGTCACGCGAGCCCGATGTTCCGATGGAGAACACTCAGCCCCAAGACCCTGGAAGCAGTGAAGGTCCCATCCTGGACAGGGCTGCGTCCAGCCCCGCCCTGACCCTCTGCTCAGTGCCCGCAGCGAGGCCTGTCGCCCTGTCACACAGCATTCTTCTGCCCAGTCGGCCCTGGTGCTGCGGGAGCCGGTTGGAGAGCACCTAGCGCAGTGGCTATCAGTTATTGTCATCAACCACAGGTCCTTCGTCTACACTGCAAGATGCAAAGGGCTTTGTCTACGCCCCTCTGGGAGATGGGCTGCAGAGCTGCCCATGGCTCGGTTCCTGCGTGGAGTGTGACTGCCTCTCGTAGCCGGCAGGAGGGATGGAAGTTTATCAGCCTCAAATTGCATCACCTTTCCCTTATGCTGACTTTCCATTGCCTACATCAGCTCCTGTGTTTCCTTTATAGGATGAGGCTCATCTTACAGCAGGCTCATTTGCTTTAGCCTTTGGATATGATAATACAGGTTTTTTTTTCCATTATTTTAAGTCTAAAAGACAAGACTCCAGTTTGGAATGCTCCTGAATTTAAAAGACTCTGCCTTAGACTGTTTGCATATGCATAGGCCCCCAGACACCCTGCTGCGTGCATGCTTGTTCCTCTCCCCTCTCTGAGCTCCCAGCCTGCTGCCATTTTAACCTGGGCAAAAACATCGGGAGAAACAGAGGCCAAGTCAGAAGACGATGCTGCTGTCTGCCCCCATGCACGGCCTGCTACCCCACGGCAGAGGCCTTTAGAATGGAACGGATAAAAGCACTCCAGCCCTCCAGCCCAAACTGGCCCGTGGCAGAGGACAGACACGGGTGGGGGACCGTGTCTGCGCTCCTGACGCCGGGCCTGGGGTCCGGAGCCTGCACACGCGTGTGGGCAGTGCAGAGCCTGCCTCCTCCAGCGACACACACGCAAAGGCCACGCGTGCCTCTGCACACAGCAGACACGGCGCTGGCAGGAGCTGGCGAGCAGCTGTGCGCCATATGCCTGGGCTGTCGCCTCAGCCTCTGAATAGCTCACGTCCCTCTGCCACCAGGACCGCGGTGGGGGGCGGAGCTCCCAGGCTTGCTACTTCCCTGGTGCTCTGCATTTGCAGTTCTGAGACTTAAGGAATGTTCTCCATTGCACAGCTTTGCTGTGTTCCCGGGAGGCGACGGGTACGCAGGTGACCCGTGGACACAGGGGGCCTTGCTGGGGGTGGAGGCCCTGCGTGGTCTTGGACTTGGTGGGGACGTTGGTCGGCACTCACTTGGCTGCCGACTGTGCAGGCTCCCTGCTCACGGCCCTCTGAGCCCAGGGTTTCAGAATCGACTGAAAAGATGAGACACACAGCGAGGAGCCATCGACGCGTGCGGAGGACAGCCGGGCAGCTGCCGCCAAGTGCTTCCCGCTCCGTCCGCCGGCACTGCAAGCTCTGGCATGGCCCGACCTGGAACTCCTGGGAAGTCCCTTCCACGACTTGGTCACTGTCCTCTCACCGCCCACCTGCCCTTGGTAGGCAGCTTTGTCCACTGCAGGCTGAGTCCCAGGAATCAGATGTTGAAGGGACACAGGAAGTGAGGCTTTAGGCTAAATCGTGGCAGCACACTGCTTAACGAAGCCGGCCTGCATCAGGCATAGTGTTTTTTCTCCCGTCTTAAGAGAGTCTGTTCAGAGACAATATCTAAAAATGAAGAAAAAAAAAAAAAAACCCGGGGGTGGACACTGTGGTGCAGTGACAGGCTGCTCCGTGGGACGCCGCATCCCAGCTGCCCAGGGGAGGCCCTGCGGCTCCGCTTCCAGCCCACCTTTCTGTTAGTGCGCCGGAGCTTGGGCCCCTGACCCCACTGGGAGACCCAGCTGCAGTCCCAGGCTCCTGGCTCTGGCCGCGCTCAGGCCTGGGCGCTGCAAGCACTGGGGAGTGAATCAGCGATAAAGGGCCCCTGTCCCATCCCTTCCCCCTTCTGTTACTCTGCCTTCAGATGAATTTTTTTTTGGACAGGCAGAGTTAGACAATGAGCAAGAGAGGCAGAGAGAAAGGTCTTCCTTTCATTGGTTCACCCCCCAAATGGCTGCCACGGCCGGTGTTGTGTTGATCTGAAGCCAGGAGCCAGGTGCTTCTCCTGGTCTCCCATGCGGGTGCAGGGCCCAAGCACTTGGGCCATCCCGCCCTGCCTTCCTGGGCCACAGCAGAGAGTTGGCCTGGAAGAGGAGCAACCAGGACAGAACCGGCGCCCCGATTGGGACTAGAACCCGGGGTGTCGGCACCACAGGCAGAGGATTAGCCTAGTGAGCCACGGTGCCGGCCTGCACGATTTTTTTTTAAATGAAAAAAATGAAAAAGCTACACCTGGTAAGGCACGGGGCCTGGCCCACATGGATGGATGCCGGGCAGCTGAAGGCAGCCCCTCCCTGCCTGCAGGTCCCCGTGGTCGGGAGCAGCCACTGGGGTGTGAGGGCCACGTTGTCTGTGACTTGTGGGCCGAGGCCACGGAGCTTTCATGCTGGGATGCCCGTCCCCTCTCACACCCGCGTGGTGCGGAGCAGCCTGCGTATTCCTGGTGCAGCTGCAAGATGGCCCAGTCTGTTAGCCCCGAGCCCTGGGTCACTGTGCTACCGACCTGCGTAGCACGGGCGGCGGGAGGGAGAAGCAGGACCAGCTCCCATCTTCAGGCAGCGTGCTCTCACGGCAACACCATCTACCCATGTGCACTCAGCTCTCCGCAGCGTCAGCTCCGACAGGAATCTGGAGTCTCCCCAGGCTGAAGGAGGCTGGGCAGGCGTGACGCCACCACACGCCCTGCCTGGCCACCTGCGTTTCTGCTGTCTCAAGCTAAGGCAGCTGCGGCACGAGTCAGAAGGGAGCCCTCCCACTCCTCTGACGCCACGGCTTTGCCTCGCCAAGAAGGACTTCTGCAATCCCGGCCGACCATGTGACACGCGGAATGACGACTCAGCCCCCGGCCTGCCTCCCCCCTCAGTAAACAGCAAACCCTGCCCACGAGGGGATGCGTTTTCCATCCCTGCCACGTGAGCCACGTGGACCACGTGGGACCATACCTGATTGGCAGTAATGCTGTGTCACCATAAATAACCCCCACGGCTGTGAACCAGCAGGCAGCACCATCACCCGGCACCTGCACTGCACACACACACACGGCGAGGACCAAAAATAACCATGCAACGGGTGCCTGAGATTTGCCAAGAGAGGACATCTTAAATGGTGTCACTACAAAAGAAGCTACGTCTATGACGCGATAGACAGTGGGGCCATTTCCCGATGCCTGTATCCATAT